CCTGATTTTGGTGATATGAGTCTTTCTTTTTCTTTTACTGTTGATAGATTTTACTGATTTTTTTTCCCAGAACAATGTTTGATTTTTTGTTCATTTCCTATTTCTTTTATTTCTGTTCTTATCTTAATTTTTCCTTTGTTTACTTTAGTTTAATTTGCTTTTCTTTTACATTGGAAGCTTAAGTGATTTATTTTAGAGTTTTCTTCTTTTCTAATAACACATTTTAAAAATTATTTTAAAGATATGGGGTACAATTCAGGATTAGGTATACAAGTGGTCATTGTAGAGGCAAAGTAATATATACATTTAAACCTATACATTTCTCTGTAAGCACTGCATTAGCTGCATCCCACAAATTTTGATATGTTGTGCTTTCATTTTTATTCAGTTTTAAACATTTTCTAATCTCCTTTGTAACTTTTTTTTTTTTTCAGTTGGAGTCTCACTTCGTTACCCAACCTGACGTGCAGCGTGCTCAAGGTCAACTCCCGTCGGCCTGCTGGGCTCAGGTGATCCTTCTGCCTCAGCCTTCCAAGTGGCCGGAACTACAGGTGCATGCTCCCATGCCTGGCTAATTTTTTGATTTATTATAGAGATGAGATCTTGCCAAGTTGCCCAGGCTGTTCTTGAACCTGGGGGCTCAGGCAATCCCCTCACCTCATCCTCCCAAAGCGCTGAGATTACAGACTTGAGCTACCATGCCCGGCCATAATTTTTTAAAATAATTGAATAGCAAAGGCATGTTGTTTAATTTCCAAATATTTGAGAGTTTCCAGAATATCCTCTGTTGTTGATATTGAACTCTATTTTGGTCAGACCCATACTAAGTTTGCATATCATTTCAATCTTTACATTTTTGAGACTTATTTTATGACCCAGAATGTAGTCTGTTTTGGTGAATGTCCCATGTGAATCCATGTGCATTTATAAAGAATATGTGTTCTACTATTGATATCTATAGAATGGTCTATAAATGTCAATTAAAACAAGTTGGCTATTGGACTGTTCAAATTTTGTATCATTTCTAATATTTTGCATATTTGTTCTTAAAATTGCTGAGAGAAAAATGTTGAGATTTTCAACTATAATGTAGATTATCTATTTCTTTTTTAATTCCATCAGTTTTTATTTTATGTATTTTGAAATTTGTCTTTAGATGCATACACATTTAGGATTGCTTTTTTTTGCCTTGATAAATTTGCTCCTATATTATTATAAAATGACCCTCATTGTCTGTGGAATATTCCTCATTCTATTTACCTTGATATTAATTTAGTGGCTCTCGATTTTTAAAAATTAACATATGTATAATATATTTTTTAATATTCTTTACTTTTCAATCTTTATGTATCTTTATATGTAAAGTGGGTAATTGTAGACAGAATACGGTCAACTCTAGTTCTTTTACGCAATCTGATCATCTTTGCTTTATAATTAGAACATTTAAACTATTTACATTTAATGGAATCATCAGTATAGTTGAGCTTAAGTTTGCCATCTTGTTTTCTATTTCTTCCATCTGTTCTTTTTCCCTTTTCTTTCTCTATTTCTGTCTTCTTTTGGATTATTTAGTCATGATTTCATTTTATCTTCATCATTGGTTTTTTAAAAATAATTTTAGTTAATAATTTACTAGAATTTATTTTCTAGAGAAGTTCTAAGTTCACAGCAAAATTGAACAGAGGGACAGAGATTCTCTATATAAACCTTCTATCTTTCCTGCTGTCAGCATTCACACCAGAGTGGTATATTGGTTACAATACATGCATACATGCATGCATACATACATCCATACATTCATACATACATACACACACACACTTGTTTGAGCCAAGGAGTTTGAGGCAACATAGCAAGACCTCATCTCTATAAAACATTAAAAAATTAGCTGGATGTTGGGCATTTGCCTGTAGTCCCAGCTACTGGGAAGGCTGAGGTGGAAGTATCACCGGAGCCCAGGAGGTTGAGGCTGCAGTGAGCCGTGATGGTGCCACTGCATTCTAGCCTGGGCAACAGAATGAGATCCTGATTCAAACAAAACAAAACAAGACAAAACAATCGATGAACTTACACAGATGTGTCATTATCATCTGGAATCCATGGTTTATATTAGGATTCACTCTTGGTGTGCATCCTATGGGTTTTGAGATATCTAAAATGACATATGCCCACAATTATAGTGTCACACAGAGTAGTTTCACTGCCCTAAAAATTCTCTCTTCTCTGCCTGTTGATACTCCCTTCCTCAGACCCTAGCAATTTTTTTTTTTTTTTACTGTCTTTATAGTTTTTTTTTTTTTTACTGTCTTTATAGTTTTGCTTTTTCTGGAATGTCATATACAGTAGTTGGAATCATACATTATGTAGCATTTTTCAGATTGGTTTCTTTTGCTTGGTAATTGCATTTAAGATTCTTTCTTGCTTTTTCATGACTTGATAGCTCATTTCTTTTTAGCAGTGAATAATATCCTATTGTCTGGATGTACCACAGTTTATTGATCTATTGATCTACTAAAGGAAATCCTGGTTGCTTCCAGGCTTGGCAGTTATGAGTAAAACTGCTATAAACATCTATGTGTGGATTTTTGTGTGGCTATAACTTTTAAACTCTTTTGGGTAAATACCAAAGTGTGCAATTGTTAGGTTGTATGAGTACGTTTATATATTGTAAGAGAATGTTTATGCTGCAAAAAACTGCCAAACTGTCTTCCAAAGTGACTATACCATTTTGCATTGCTTTCTGCAATGAATGATTATCCTGTTGCTTCATATCTATGTCAGCATTTGTTAGTGTCAGTGTTTTGGATTTTGGCTATTCTAATAAGTGTGTAGTGGTATATCATTGCTGTTTTACTTTGCAATTCCCTAATGGCATATGATGTGTAGCATATTTCTATATGCATATTTGCCACCTGTATCTCTTCTTTTTTAAGGTGTCTGTTCAGGTCTTTTACCCATTTTGAACTGAGTCTTTCATTTTCTTATCACTGAGTTTTAAGAGTTATTTATTTATTATGGATAACAATACTTTATCTGATGCGTTTTTTGCAAAATTTTCTCCCAGTTTGTGCCTTGTCTTCTCATTCTCCTGATACCATTGGCTTTTTAGCTATACTTTTGTTTTAGTGTTTGCTCTAGGATTTACAATATACATTTTAATTTATAGTTTACCTTCAAATAATATCATTTCACCTGTAGTGAAAGAACCTTACAGAAATATATTTCTATTTCCCATTCCTATCCTTTGTTTTATTCTTGACATACAGTTTACTTCTAAGTATGTTAAAAACCCCACAATTATTATTATTTTTGCTTTAAGCTGTCATTGTCTTTTTTAAAAAATTGAGATAATTTTCACAAAATAAAAAGAACGATTTTAAAGTGAACACTTCAGTGGCATTTAATACACTCACAATTTTGTGCAACCTACCACCATCCTCATTTCAGTGTACGGGTCTCACACATCTTTTGGCAGATGTATTTCTAGGTATTTCCTATTCTTAATGCTGCTGTAAATAGTATGGTGCTTTAGCTCATTATCTGATTATTTTAAAGTTTTGATCTCTATATGTAGAAGTATAATTGACTTTTGTATATTAATCTTGTATCTTGCAATCTTGCTAAACTCATTTATTCGTTTGTTAGTTCTAGTAGATTTTTATGAATTCAGGGAGATTTTTTTACATAGATGATCATATTGTTTGTGAATAAAATTTACTCCTTCCTTTTCAATCTGAATGCCTCTTTTCCCTTGTCTTATTTTGACCTCCAGTACAGTATTGAATAGAAGATGTGAAACAGACATTTTTACCTTTTCCCAGATAAAAGTGTACATTGGTTCCAAAAATTCAATAATTGTTCATGCATTTATGAATTTTTCCTTCAGCCATTTATGCATGCAACAGATTTATTGTCTATTATATACTAGGCACTGTGACTAAATATTTATTAAATAAAATGTTGAATTATTATGAACTAGCTATTATTTATTGACACTCATTATGAGCCAAGTACTGTGTTAAAAAACACTGATATTATCTTTTAATAAGTGAGGAAACCGAAGTAAAGCGAGACCAAGCATGTCAATGTCATATATCTAGTAAATGACAGAGCTAGACTTTGATCTCAGATCAGTTTGACATCCTGCCAGACGTGGCTATGTTACTTAAACAGCCACTGTTTCACACGTGTACATCGTTTAGAATCCAAAGAAAAAACAATAAAACATTTTGAACTAATCAAAACTTGTGTTCTAATCAGCAACATATGAGCCAATTGCCCCGCATTTTCATAAAGAAGTTCCTTTGAGGAGCCGGGTTCGGTGGCTCAGCCTGTAATCCCAGCGCTTTGGGAGGCCAAGGTGAGTGGATTGCCTGAGCCCGCGGGTTCGAGACCCGCCTGGGCAGCGAGA